AGAAAGAAAATTACAACTCTCTGAACTAGAGGAAATTAGGCTTGAGGCATATGATAACTCAGTAATTTATAAGGGAAAAGCCAAGGCATTCCATGATGCAAAACTGACCAGAAAATCTTTCGAAGCAGGAGATAAGGTTTTACTTTACCAATCCAAATTTCATTTGTTCCCTGGAAAACTAAGATCTAGGTGGATAGGTCCTTATGAAGTGCTTAAAGCTTATAACCATGGTGCTGTTGATATAAGAAGCCTTGCTACTAACAAAATTTTTAAAGTAAATGGCCATAGGTTGAAGCTTTACAGGGAAGGTGTCCAGGTAGGACTCGTGGAGGAGATAATTCTAGAGGACATTCCTCTAGACGTTTGGTTGGAGATGTAGTGAAGCTTGCAAGGGTCTAGCCAAGACCATAACTAGGGCAGCTAACTGGGAGGCAACCCAGCATTTAAAAAAAACACTTCTTTTTAATATTTTCAATTACATTCTGCATTTTTTTCCCCACCCTCTCTGTTTCTTTTTCTCTCACCCACCCATTCCATATCCCCTTCTTTTTACCCCTTCTCGTGCGTACATGTTTTATGCCTATCACAGGGCCTACTGCTTGTTTTTCACACTGAGGACAGTGAAAAAGGTAAGTGTGGGGGGGGGGGGTGCTTATAAATATTTCAATCCTTCTAACTTGAAGAGACAAGGTACGCATCCCTTAAGTATTCATTGGATCCTAGATTGCTGAGAAATAGGTTGACATGAGGAAATTTGCTGAATTTTGATGGTGAATTTGTCTCTTTGATTCTGATTCTATGTCTTTGGTATTATAACACCCTGATTTTCCCCTCTGTCCTGACTGTTTCTCATTTCAAATGATGATTTTAGTATAAGGGGGCTATGAACATGTTGCTTTTCTGCATTCATCACTTGTAAGAGGCCTTATATGCATAAAAAAACTGTAATAAACTGTCCATTTAAGCATATTTAGGGGCTGATTTGTTAGTTTTAAACCTGGCTAGTTTGGAATGCATTTATCTTCCCGAGATTCTGCAGATACAGTAATACCTTAGAGGTCTCAAACCTGCTTGCTAGGATCTTAGAAAATCTGCATTTAATGTGATTTGGTTAAGAAAAAAAGGGTTAAAAACTCTTAAATTCTTAAAGAAACTGAGGATAAGGAAAAATCCTGAGAAAAATTAGGAATCACAATAGTTTCCTTTATCTTTTAGCACCCTAAGTGTTGCATTTTAGCATTAAATTCAAATTGAAGTTGTAACAAATAGGGTTGAGTGTTTTAAAAGTGAGTTTGCTACTTTCAAGTTTAAATCATTGCTTTTAAGTCATAGCTGATCAGAACCTATTTTTATTTAATTTCATATCTTTTAATTAGCTAAGTTCAAGGTGCATAATTTATTTAGAAGTGTTTAGAGCAGTTTTTTTTTCTAACTCTTTTGTCCTAAGTTGCTTTTCAAGTAAAGTTAATCTTTTGGAAATTTCTTTTCTTACCTAAATTTTGGTTATCTACATATTATCAAGATGCTGAAATGAGTAAATGTGTATACTGGAACACCATCTTAGGTTGGCATGGGTGGCACGACACTTTTGTCCCCTTAAGCAACAGATCCTAAAAGGAAGTGTTGTGTAAGGAGAAAACCTGAGTTGGAAGAGCAAACCCCGTTTTTGGGCCGTACGAATCTCGTCCATAACCAGTTCAAATAAAAAGAACCGACGCCATTGAGCCCAAAAAAAACGAGGCAATAAATGGCTAGGAAAAAAAAAGAGAGAATAAATAATTGAGTAAAAAGGTTGTTTGAGCACTCGAGTTGATACCCTCGGAATACTTCGTTATTTAGGTCCCAGGCTATCTGGAATGGGTTTGGGGTAGCCTGGTTGAGACTCGCTACACGGGTCAACTCAAACAACTAAAAATTTAATATTAAATCAAAGTAATAATTAAAAGTTTCCAGATTTTAGGAAAGAAAATAAATTTTCTTAAGCTTTTCTTTATTTGAGTGTTTCTCAGGACTTATAACTACCTTTTGCTGCTCTATTTATTTGTTTTAAATTCTTCTCAATGATCTTAGTTAATTTGTAGCAAGCTGATTTTTAAGGTGTTCACTTTCTTTGGTACAATTTTAATCTTTAGTTAATGTTTTAAGCAACACCTTAGATTGTTTAGAGATAGGGGAATTGTTGTGAATTCTGCTTTCTAACACAAAAAGAAAGATTTGATTGTCAAAATCTACTTTGCACGAGGGCGTGCAAAAGGCTAAGTGTGGGGGTATTTGATAAATCTTCAAATGTCATATTTTATTCCTTCATATTAGCCCGTTTTAGTACAATCCAAATGCATTTTATACACATTTAATCACTATTATGTTTACATAGCAATTTAGGCCATTATTTGTATTTTATTCATAAAATGCATTCTTTGGTTTATTCTTTTACTTCACTATTTTTATTATCTCATTTACCTTGACGTAGGTTTTAAAAATCGTTTTACGGAGCATTAAAGGGCTCGGTGATCCCGAGGGCTGTCAAGAATTAGATGAAGAAGCTAAAAGGGCCAAGTCACCTGGGACTTGACCCATAATCCATTACGCAGCCCAGTCCAAAGACGCCCAAGAAAAACGAATAAAGAAGTCATCCAAATGAAGCAATGTAGCCAGGACCTGCGTATGCCTTCGTTTGTACCTGCGGCAGCCCAATTCAGTGCTGCATCCAGAAATCCTAGCGGATAAACGATCCTCAGAGTCCAAACGAAGCCAAAGGTCTAGAGTACTTCTTCGTTTTAATCTGCAGCGACGAAGCACTGAAGACTCCTACTTCGATTCTACCTGTGCAAGTACGTAGAAGACTTGGACTCGGATTTTGAGTCCTAATTGAAGACGGGAAGCTGATTTCTAGCCCCTATAAAACGCAGCAGCGAAGGAAGAGACGAGGAGGGACGAGAGAGCACTGAGCGACAGAGCAGCAGCGAGGGAAGAGCAGAGAGGGGTTCGACCCTAAGGGGGTCTGGACTTCGGTCCAGGTCCTCCTATTCTTTCTTCTTTATGTTTTACCTTTGTTGTTTCTTTCAACAATTGCTATTCAAGACTTCCAGCAACTTTTTGTCTACTCAAATTTGGCATGTTCTAGTTTTTTCTTCCCTAGTTGGAAAATTATTATCAAGATTTATTTGTTTTGGGTTGAACATTTGCCCTGCACTCATTTTATTCAAGAGTATTAGTTTCAATGTTGTTCTTAAATTGTCCAATTTGTGTTACTTCAATCACATATTTTAATAATTTATGAAAGGATTGAGACTAAGAGTTTTGAATGATTCTGGTGGTGGTTATGTCTAACCTATTTACCTTGTTGTGTTTGTTTAGTACGTATATATGTTCTTCTTGTTCATTTCTGGATTGCTTAGATTAACTAGCCTCTGAAATAATTGAACCTCTCTTATCAAAGACATATTCAGTAGGCCAATTGAATGCTCGGTTCAAGGATTTTTGGCGGAGTAATGTGCTTTGGGAGATGTTCTAAGCCTTAGTGCTAGCGGTTGGTTTGAACTCAAAAATGGTGTTTGAAAACTGATTTTGTTTATGCTTGGATTAGACGAATTTAGGATGGCCACCTAAAATCTAATTCCAAATTGATAGTTTTGATGTCTTAAGTACGTTAATAGCTGAGATTTTCAAAACACAAGTGTCACCCGATTAATACTTAATTGGCTCCCAT